AGAGAGAGAGAGAGAGAGATCATATTTGAAGCAGTCAGGGAAGAGCAGAGGAAATTGTTACTGACTTTGATTAGATATACAGATCGTGGGCTGCCCTGCTGTTAGTACTGACAGTATTGATTGAAAGATATCTGTGTACTCTGCTCTTGAGATGCATCAACAATTTCATTGTAAACCCCCACATTCTCATTGAGATTCTCATTGTGTTTCTTTATTAAAGGGGAATCCACCATAAATTCCTTACTTCAACCTTTAAAAACAGCTGATTGCTGCAGTGGAATTTTAATATGGAGGGTTTAATGTAGTTTTAACTGTGAGCTAAAACAATTTCTATATTTATTGTCTAAGTAGAGTGTAAATACCTGAGGACCCAACATAGACCCTTGTGGTATCCCAAGGGAGATTGTTTTGAGACCATCAGTGCAGATTGTTTGTGTTCTGTCAGACAAATAAACATGAAACCAGTTCTGAACAAAACTGAAGAAAGTGTAGTTTAGGTAAAATGTAATGCTCAACTTCATAAAAATAAATTATCCTATGCCTTGGTCTAAAACTTGACCTTTGTGGCTGGAGGGTACAGTTATAGTCTGGATAAGCATAATGGGTATAGTTGTCAACCAGATTTTTTAGGATCTTTGCAAAGGATATTGGATGATAATTATAGATGTTATCAGTGGATCCACCTGTGGAATGACCTGAGCTGCCTTCCATTCCGCTGGTATCTTACCAGTAATAAGTGTTAGATTAAATACATGGCTAAAGCAAGAAGGGCTAAAATGAGCACTGATATTCATGAGATAAGGATCTAGATTGTAAACCTGCCAGTGCATTGAATACTTCATAATTACTGAAGGCTCTAAAGGAAGTGTTTGTGGCATAAGACAGACCAGGTGTAGACCCAAACCACGTGTTTCCTGCTGGGGCTTCCGGTTGTGTTGCTGGAGGGCCGTTCTATAAATGCATCAATGATTATTCTAATGGTTATTATTATATTTAGGGACAGAGCCAGCGACCTGTTGGAAGGTCCCTATAGTTTTTGCTATGATTATTATTTCTAGCCCCTTTCACGTGATTTTTGA